TTACAATCTCTTCTTTCCATCTTTCCAAAATTATTACAGTACCTACAACAGTTTACTATTTTACTATTTTTAGAATTTTCAAAAAGATTATAGGCTTTAAATTAAAAAAAGGATGATAAAATAAGTAGATATAACCTGCTAGATCTTATAATGCCAGCTACTTTAAATTTTACAATAATCTAACAAGAAATTATCTATTATCCTTAAATTAAGCAAAAAATATCCACTTGACTTTCTATTATTTGACTACAAAGAGCAACAGGTATTTGTTTTCGTCCCTTTCGTCGCATTACTTTCAATATCTGTACCTTCCAACCCCCCAGACACTCTTTTATTATCACTCGAGTCGACTACCACCCATGGTGCCAAGACAAAAGAATCCCTTTTTGACCACAAAGTGTATTTCTACCTTGGCGTCTAACGCCGACCTGCAACAATTCCAGTTAGAACTAGCGACAGGTGATAGGCAACACATTATACACGTCGCCTACTATATTTCAATGTGAACACAACTTATATCCCAGTCCTGTGTAAAGGTGGAAGTAACAGTTCCCGATTTTAACGAGAATTTGTTCTTCAGTTTTATCTAAAAAATGTATCAAGAAGAAATAGGCACATAATAAGAAATAAGGCAACAAAAATAAATAAGCTATTCTTTCTAATAAATAGGTATTCAGTTATGGACATAAAAATACTTTTTCTACTCTCTTACTAGTAAATTGTTTAATACCTACTATTTGGATGCTAAGTAAATGCATCATAACAGATACTGACACGTAATGACTAACACGTAATAAAAAAAATTACGGTTCAGTTTTATAAAAATGTGTAATATCACATAAGCCTTGTAAGTCAGTTGGTCGAGTTACCATGGAAACGGATTAACAGACGTTATTTTGACAGATTCAAAATTATTAAACTGTCAGTGTAAATATAGTGGTAATTTAATTTTTATTTTTATAAACGAAAATAATGGTAGAAAAAGTATAGTACACAACTTGAGTTGTAAGCTTATTACATGCTTGTAAAATTACTGCGCTCGCCGCTACGCGGCTCGCGCGCAACTTTTTTACTCGCATGTAATAAGCTTCTTACAACTCTCGTTATGTAATATACTATTAAATGCATGTTATCGTAATATCCTTTTTAGCCAACATTGCAAAAACATTTTAAGTTGTTAAGAGCTTTCCTCTAATAGTTAGGAGTTTCTATGGCGTATTATAAGAAGAAATAGCTATGAACTGATACTTACTGATGAACCTACTGAAATGCAGATAGGTAAATAAAATCGTCGCAAAATATAGAGATAATAATTAATCATCCATAAAGACGAAAAGGCAATTGTACATATATATATATATATGTATATATATATATATATATATATATATATATATATATATATATATATATATATATATATATACAGTGCTAGTCAAAAGTCTGTTCCCCCCCTCGTATCTTTTGAACGGTTATTGTTATAATAATGAAATTTGGAGGGAGGTAATAAACAGACGTAGGCTTCTCAACTAGTCATAACAGGTGACATAATAGTGACAGATGACGTTACAGCGCCAGTGTGACAGATAATTTTAAATGGAACCTTATGGCAAGTGATATCTCGTTTGAAAGGTATTGAAAATACCTATTCAGTCATAATAATTTTGTTTGAGTTTAAGCTCATTTTGATGAATAAATTAAAAAAATACTAAAATTGTAGCTTCTCATTTAATTGATAAATATTTAACAAACAGTTCTTATAGTAAGTTTTCAAAATGTGCTCCATCTACTTCCTGACAGTAATGCATCCTATTTCTAAACTCTTGCCGTACTCGTTCAAATGTGTCGGTGGAAATTGCCCTATATTCTTCAACAATTTGTTGTTTCAAAATGTCAATATTGTCGGTTTCTGTAGCGTAAACTTTAGATTTCAAGTATCCCCACAGAAAAAAAATCTAATGGTGTGAGGTCCGGTGACCGAGCTGGCCATTCTATCGTACCTCGTCGTCCAATCCATCTACCACGATATTCCTCATCTAGGTAACGTCTTACTTATTTCCAAGTTGCCGAATTCATCTGGATTATCCTCCAGAATTTCAAATATTAATGGTTCAATTGCATTTTGTAACATCTCCAGATACACTTCATCGGTTAAGTTAGTATTGAGACAAACAGGCCCCACTATGTGGTTTCCCAAAATACCTACCAAACATTTATTTTTTTTTTTTGGAACTTGAGTATGTGTTTCACGAAACAAATCTCACACACACAATACCTCAAATTGTGTGTGTTAACATGTCCATTGAGAGAAAAATTACTTTCGTCACTAAAACAAATTGTTTTTGTGTAATTGGGCTGTTGGTTAATTTTATTGGATATATTTTCACAGAATTCTAGTCTTCGGTCGGGGTCATGATCTGAAAGTTAGTGCACAATTTTTAATTTGTATGGATGAAATTTGTTATCAGCCAATACTCGGTGTACTGTCTTTTGACTAATTCCATAGATAGATGCAACTTGGGCTGTAGAAGAAGTAGGGTTCATTACCATTTCTGATATTATGTCAATTTTTTTGTCATCATTGTTGGTCGACCAGATCATTTGACATCTTGAACACTACCTGTTTGTTTAAAATTCCGAAGAAGCTTTCTCAAATAAGATCACGATATAGGGCGATCGGGGTACCTCTTATTAAAAAGACGTTACGCTGCATGGAAATTATTTCTACATTCACCAATTAGTAATACAGTTGCTACTTTATCGGATACAGTACGTACCATTCTGCCTTTGTAAAGAATAATAAACTAAACTAACTAACTAACTAAACTAAATATTAACTAAGAACAACTAACTAAAAACAGCTTGACTAAACTTAAATTGACTAAACTAAGTAGAAACAGAAACTAAATATTGGGCTATAAACGCTTTTGCAAACTAAAAACAACTGTAGAATTGACAAACGTCAAACTTTTTGACAAATAACCAAAGGCTGACGTTAGAAATTTTATTAATTAAATGCCGAGTAGAATTTTAGTATTTATTTCATTTATTTGTTAAAAGCATCTTAAATCCAAACAAAATTAGTATGATTGAATAGGTATATTAAAATTATTGTAGTTTCGCATTTAATCAATATAAACAAAATTAGTATGATTGAATAGGTATATTAAAATAATTGTAGTTTCGCATTTAATTACTAAATATTCTAACGTTCGCCTCTGGTTAATTGTCAAAAAAGTTGACGTTGACGTAAAAACAATTGAAGAGATTGAGAAATGAAAAACGTCAACTTTTTGACAAGTAACCAGAGGCGGAGGTTTTAATATTTATTAATTAAATGCGAAACTACAATTTTAGTATTTATTTAATTTATTTATCAAAATGAGCTTAAACTCAAATAAAATTATTATGACTGAATATATATTTTTAATACCTTTCAAACGAGGTATCACTTGCCATAATGTCCCATTTAAAATTATCTGTCACAGTGGCGTTGTAACGTCATCTGTCACTATTACGTCACCTGTTATGACTAGATGAGAAGCCTAGGTTTGTTTATTACTTCCCTCCAAATATCACTATTATATCAATAACCGTTCAAAAGATAAGAAGGGGAACGGACTTTTGACTAGCACTGTATATATATATATATATATATATATATATATATATATATATATATATATATATATATATATATATATATAATCATTGCTTTTGCCTTCCCTAATTATATTTTTCGTATATATATTCGATAATACCAATATCTATCCCATTCGCTCTTCGGAAAGATGTTTTGCCCAAGCTTCCCTCACCAGATCATAATATATAATTATGGTCTTGATCTCTCGCTCCTTCCAGAAAATTGCAATTAAGCAACTCCCCTTGATAATTGCCTTATTGTATTGTTCAATATGCTCCAATCATCTTAATTTAAACTAACTCATGTTTGAATTAATTAAACATTCGTTGTTCCTTCTTCTTTTTAATTAGACTTATTTACTGCCATACGTTATAGACGCTCTTATGAGAGTTTTATAGAATACTCCTGTAAGTTGTATTGAAATATTTCTGTAAATTTTCATGGGCGCCGGCAGCGAGACGCAAGGGGGTGCCATTGCAACCTCCGCTCGGAAAGAAATTACATAGCTATACATGTATTGCTGTATATTTTATATTGGTTAATAATACCTATGTGTAGGTGCAGATGTACCTCACTGAATATAATCCTGGCGGTGCCCATTAACACAATATAAAGTTTCGGCTTATCTGTATTAGTGACTCCATGTTTAAGTAGACATTTATGATATTCTGTCCTATGATCTTTATCCTATTTTCTTCAGAAAAAGAATAACATTATCTGGTTTATGTATGCAAATCCATTCATCTACTTTTATCCTAGCGGAACTACCCCAAAATCTTATTTATCTTGGAAAACGTACATTTATTACACTAATTCATCGTAAACTTTTTTATAATCGTATAATAACAAACAATATATTATTTAAATACTAAATGTATAAAAAAAATTACTCAAGAGGGAAAGTCCATATTGGGTTTTACATATCCGGATGTAACAGTTATTTTTAAAACTATTGGCGCCATCTCTATGAAATATCTGCGGTAATATGGGACAGGACAGGCTTGATGTCGCTTATCTGCCCATCCGATTGTTTTGACTTGGTGATAATGTGTATTTATGTTTAATTGAAAATAATTGCAGTTGATTTCAAGTATGATGTAATTTATTAGTAAATGCTTCAAATTGTGAATAAATATTAACATATAGTATTATATGTAATTTGCGTGTCGTTAAAAATGAATACTCTAGGCGTTATTTGGGAATGGAGTATCTTTATGCAGATTCCCGTTGTCAGATTCGGCGTGTTCGGCTCTGTTCGACCAACATTCCCACTTCCTCGGCAGGTCAAACCTGGAATGGATGAAAAGCGGTCAACAGAGTGTACAGGTGTTTTTAAATGTTACTTTATTTTATGGTGTAGTGAATTTTTATAATCATATACGTAAGTCATCTTTTTTTCCTCAATTTATGGGTCAAACTAGTTTTACAAAGTTTGCAGGTTATGTATACTAACTATGATACTTTGAAAATTGTTGATATCTAGTGCATAAAATGTGGAATGAGTGCAGTGGCAGTGAATGAGTACTTATTGGGACTCGGGCCTCGTTCCCAAATATAACGTTACTTTTGTAAGTGGTACTGTCGACGTGTTCTCATGGATAGTACGGTACTCGCAACATACTTTTGATTTTCGCAATTTTCGGAGGGTTCCTACATTAAAATTGCGTTGTAAAATTAGTTTCTTGGTTTGTTATTATTTTGTTTGTGATGTAATAGTACCGACTATCACGTATTTACGTGAGAAAGAATTGGGTTGCGATTTCTAGTGATTTTGCAATTAGTAACCTATTTTTTCCTTTGGTCATTGCCCTTGGAGAATAACAATATTTGGTATGCTTTTGTAAGTTGATATATTTATTTTTATTTTTATTATTAACTACTACTTTCTATATAATGATTTATCTAATTAATTTAGGAATTGTTAGGCTTAACATTACGATTTTTGTTTGAATTCTGAAAATGATTTTAATGTCCTAATATGAACGGTGTTTGTAAGACAGTATCATATTAATAAATAAGAAGGAAGTTATACTTAACTGCCCCAAATAATAATTTTTCAATTTGTTGATTGGTTTTTAATGTTAATTTGATAAACCATTACCATTGAGTATGCTTTTATTAGCTTTATTACTTTCAAACTATAATTTCTAATTGTATCCAGAAATTTAATATTACATTACCCAAGTTGTTATAATGCCTTGATAAATGATTTTTATTAAGTAATCTCTAGATAACATAAAAGATACCAACATATATATCTGTTTCTATAAATGTTTCTAAAAATATTTTTAAAATAGAACATATCTTGTAATGAATAGACTGATACTGATAATAAGCACAAGTTTTGATATTTCCTATCTTTGCACATCATTATTAATCATCTGTATTTAGAAACTCTGAGTTGCATGAAGTGATTTGATCATATACTTATTCATGTTTTAACATCAGGGCTACATCCTTTGTAAGCTTCTTGTCTTTTCCTCCCCTTAGATTCTAATTAAGTATTTGTCTCCCATGATTTTGATTCCTTGTATTTGGGTTGGCTTTTTAACCACTTACATATTGATATTTTAATCTTAAAACTGAAACTGAATCTTTGTGGAAAACATTTCAAAACTTTGCAAATCTTTCTTTCCTGCAAATGTGAAAGTAATGGGAGAATACCAGTATTCTTTTTCAGATCCAATGGCTGATTTTAGTGAAGAGTATCACCAATTTGTGTTCACAACAGTCTTTACAATTTTCAACAAATTTTGTACAGTAATTTAGATTAGTAACATAAGTAGGTAAAAAAGCTGAAAGTTGGTAGTCATCTTAAAATATTACTGAAAATATTGAAGCTGCTTATGTTATAGATATAAATCCAAAACCAGCACTTTAGTACTGGTTTAACAATTTTGTTTTATGGTAATCTTTTACTAGGTATTCTAAAAAAAGGACATACACTGTCATCCATACATGCAAAATCATTTTGTCTACTTTTCCATTTTCTAAGAAAAATGAATTTTTATCAATGCTTCCATAATAGAATAGAATACATAGGTTATTGATATAAATTTATTGACAATAAACAATTTAAATTCACTCTAATAATTAAAGCAAATAATATCAGTACAAAACATGCATTAAAAACAGTATGCAATATTAGTGCTTATTAATAGTAAACGTGATGAAAAATCAGAAAAATGACACATTCATAAACAATGAAACACATTAAAGGAATTTCCTTCAAAGTCACTTCTTTCAGTCATTGGCCAAATTTGCTTTGTAGTTTGTTCTCAAGGTCTATTATTATGCATTTCTTAAATTTTATATAATATGTTTCATGACATTATCATATCTGGCAATTTAATGTAAAATTTTACACATACATACATCAGACACCTATCTATGATAGAAATTCCATGCACATATTGTAATTGATAGTGGCACGTTCATGTACTCAAGTTGTACTTTAGTATATTTGCAGTTATACTGTATATGTTCCTGTTTCAGTCTTTATACCCATTTTTTTAAAATTACCTCTATCTTATTCCTTACAATTCAAACCAAACAGTATCCTAAATATTTTTTCTATAAAATAAAAGCTAGTTAGCCTTTAGTCCCTTCTTTTCAGAAAATGATTATAAGTAAATTATGTAAAAGTCAAAAATTAGCAAAGTAATCAAATATTTTTAAAATAGCATATAAATATAATAAATTTTCTAACCTGTGTTTTTAAATCTATGTTCTGGTCTATATGTATTTTACAGAAATTTGGTGATCATACTAACACTTCCAATGGCAGTCAGAACTCAGTGGCTAGCTACTGGGTTACCAAACTGGATGTACTAGGTTTGATTCTCGCATAGATACCAGATATTTTGCAATTTCATATTTGACTAAATTGTTACCTTGCTTCAGAGGGAATGTAAGGCCATCAGTAACAGCTATGTTAACACTAAAACCTAAGCCAAAAGGTTACACTAATGGAAGATGGAAAATAAGCCAATTGGTTGGAATATAACTGGTTATAACAACAAACTGCTTCTGAAAAAGAACATTTTCTGCTCCAGCTATCTGAATATTCTCTGGTACAGTGCTGTTGTTGATCTTAGTTTTGAAGCACATGTAATTTGTTTCTCTTAATTTAATTTCATTCTGTTCACAGTATTTTGAAAATTATTTAGCTTTCTCCAAAGTCTCATTTGGAATATACAAAATGATGTGCTAAGATGATCTTAGATCATTACATATTTGTTTTATTAACACAGGTTAAAAGATAAATATTGTATCTAGTTTCTACACCGTTTTGTGTACTGGATCATTCCCATAAAATACAAATAACAAAGGACCAAGGTCCAGGCCAAGTATATGAGCAACCTCAAAATGAAGGTGAATAGATACAACTAATTGATCCACTTCTGAAAGATTAGAAGCCCATTTCTTAAAGATATTGTTTTACTTACTGCTTTTTCATAAACTATTATATTTATGTCATTACTAGTGATTGAAGTAGTATAATTAAAACAGATTCTAAAAAACATATGTGCTTATGTTTTAGTGATCATGATCATAGGGATGTAATATACTGAACTTATTGGTGCTAAATTAAACTACAGTAGAGTGTCGATTATCCAAACTAATTGGGAGGCATGGGTGTTCGGAAAATCAGTTTTTCCAAATAATCAAACTATATTGATATCTTCTTCTTTAAGTGCTGTCTCTCAATCGGAGGTTGGATATCATCATCACTATCTTTACTCTATCTACTGCTGCTCTAAAGAGTTCTACAGAACTGAATTTAAACTAGTCCCTTAAATTATTCAACCATGACACTTTTCTTCTTCCTATACTCCTTCCTCCTCTTATCTTTCCCTGTATTATCAGCCTTAGCAGTTTATATAGCTGTCCCCTCATTATGTGTTCCATATATTGTGAGATTGTAATATGTTTATATTAATATAGTCATACATATTTGCCATTTTTTATTTGATGGGCTTTAACAGAGAGTATAAAAGTTTCTATAAACCATTCTATGAAAATTGTACTATTCATCCTAGTAATCTTTTACAAAGTGTAAACAACAGACATCACAGACATATTAATGTTTTTAAACCACTGTGGTTTCTTGCTTTTACCAATGACAAGCATGAGCAATCAGTGATTGAAAGTCGCATTGGCACAAGTACATTGTAAACATTTTGGACAAAGTGGTTTTCTTCCTTCAGTAGGTAACTCCGTTAATTTAATTAGCACAGATTTTATCCTTGTATTTTGGAGATCATGAATGCCATGTCTTGACTTAAATTGTTGTAACCAGCCTGTGCTTACTTGAAAATTTGACAGCACTCTGGGTTTTTCATTTAATTGAACTGCTTTTTCACAACTAATCAAATCAGAAATAGGCTCTCCCTGGACTTTTTTTTGAGGAAACCACTTATATACAGCATCATCTAAATCCATGTTTGAGGCAAGTTTCAGCATTTTATAACTTGTAAATCTGCCAGAAGAATCATGCTGGGACATAAAGTTACTTATACTTGTTTTTTGGATAACTGACACTCTTCTTCTTCTTAGAGTGCTGTCTCCCTACAAAGTTTGGCAATCATAATGACAATCGACACTCTACTCTAAATGCAATTTTTGTATGTCTCTTACAGATAATAAATACTCTATTTGCCAGGAGTCGACAAAACCCAGAATATCCTCTCAAATATGAAAATGATTTGATTTAGTACAGTGTAAGACTGTCTAGTGATATTTCTTCTCTAAGATATCCAACAATTTCACATATGGACTTTATTTAAAGAATCTAGTATATAGTATTATTTATCATTTAAACAGATTTCTAATTCAAAGGATCTGGTTACTTTTTGTTTATATTTAATCCAAATTTAAATTTCTTTGATCTTACATATTTTTATTTCATAATTTTCACACCAGTTGTACATACTCCTTGGTTGCTAGATTGAATTGTTAAATAAATCAGTTGTATTACTAGCAGTAATGATCAAAGTAAAAATTGGAAGGTTCCAAAAAAATCATATGAACCTGAACCAATTTTTTAACACATAGAGGATCCTATGTTATCTAGGTTATTTTTTTTTACATATGCAAATATGACAAAAACATTTGTCACACATAGTCTGGATTACTCAGGATTCACTATACTTAACTGTAAAACAATAAAGATAACCTTCTAATCCATAATTTCCATAGTAAATTAATGATTTGAATTCTTTATGGTATGTTTCGGGGTTTTAAACTTTTTTCTTCTTCTTTGAATCTTCTTCTTTCCAAATTATTTGAGGGACTTCTTGTTAACAGCACTTGATTGTTGGATCTTTGTATAACATATTTTCTTTTTTTAATATTCCATCATCAATAAAAGCCAAAACAGTTCTTAAGATTTTCATGGCTCATTACTTGATTTATTGGTATATATCTGTCTCATATTTCTAAGCATTTCACACCACAAATACAATGACTTTTAAATAAAAAATAAATGTAATTCTTTAAAGCAATGGTCAGATTACTTATCAAAAATATAAATTTCACATGATACTCTAATTAGGATTTTATTAAATGACCTGGTATAAAGTAATGTTTATATAAAAAGTATTTTAACAATCTATATCTCTAAATCTCTATCTCTCTTTATCTCTATCTCTAAATATTGATTTAAATACCAATACAATGTACACATTTTTAATTTATTTAGGATTACTGTTGTATTCTTACCAAAAAAGATTATTAAGTAATAGAATCTATTCTGATATTACATTTTTGTTATAGGTTGTGCACTTACAAAAATTTTAACTAGATCTACAAAACTGTTCTTGGTAAAACTATAAGGGC